CACACACACACACACACTGATTTAGGCAAAATACCAAAATAGAGTGTGAACACTCAATTAATGAGATAACTGCAAAAATAATGAGGCATGCTGATATAGAAATTGACTAATTTTGAAGATAATTTGCAACTGAAGATGCCAAAAGACTAAAAATAACGAATGAAAACTGAAAATAAATAACAGTACGAACAGTAATAAGCCTCTGCAATTATACAGAACAATAATAATATATCTGATGAACTGATGTTAAATACAACATTTGACATAAAGTAGAGGTTTTAAGTTAAGTTAAGTTATTTATGTGCATATATTGCTATTATAATTCATGTTCAAATGACAAATATGACATTTTCTCCATTTGAATTAAGGAAAAAGTAGTGTTGTGAAGGTGGGGTTGAAGCAAAATATCCTGACAGGTCAAATATAAATTTCTAAGGGTCAGTTAAACTTTTAAATATATTCTACATAAAAAGTCATACAAAGAAGCTGGTATAAAATAAACAGCAGTGATGAAGCATCAAAATTGAGTGAGTTTTTAGAACAGACATGAAAAGTGTGCCGTATTATCAGAAGGAACCACAATAGAATTACCTGTTGTATTGTCAATACACTTTCAACTAACCAGACTCAGACTGTCCCCTACAAAAATCAACTGAGCATCTGAAGGTGCATGAAACATCTTCACACACAGAAAATGACAAGAAACACAATTTAAAAAGATATCCAAGCTTTAGAGGAGCCAAACATTGACTTGCTCATTGCACTTAAACTTAGTTCGCTGCCTGACACTGCTGACACCTGTCCCAGCACTGGAAGCCCTCTGGTTTCACCTCACCGCTGCCTAAAACAGACCTCAACCAGCAGCTTTATGGAGGAAAAGGGACAAAACGTGAAGGCGTGAGCCGACTTACCGTACAGCTTATTGGGAGTGCCCTCTCTGTCCGTGGCCTCGGAGGGCAGCAGCAGGGGCTCGTCGTTCAGATCGCTGTCTGGGGTGGCCGCTTTGTCGTCCGCCCGGAGTTCTGCCGCGCTCATGTCGCTGCGCAGGGAGAGCAGCGGCTTGCTCAGCTGCCCTGTAATCATCGGATCCTGGAGGGAGCTGGGGAGCCCAGGTGGGAAACAGGGAGGAGAAAAAAAAGAGAAAACACCCCTGGTTAGATGTGCTTCAGCGTCTCACCCTCACCGGCTCCTTCTCTATGTCTCTACTCACTCTCTCTACCCAGCTTCTCCTTTCTATTGCTCACTCATCACTCTCCCTCTCTCTCCTGCTCCCTCCCTCTCCAGCTCTCTCTTTTATCTGAGGCTGGTGCTACCCCGCTGATGCTGCCGGCTGCTGCCTGGTGAAGAACTGTTACGGATCGCGTGGCTTTACCATTATACCCTGCAGTCCTAAAACGGTGATACATCCATCTCCAAGGGCTCATTACTACCTGACATGTGCCTCATCTTCAGCAAACACTAAGCTGACAGCAGTCTACAAAGAGGGTCCATTGGCTGAGCGCTGATAAATAAATGAAATAGATATAATTCCACATCTGAAGACATGAGTGGAAATACACAGCAGTGATTATATCAATTTTCACATATTTGGGGACACAAAATGAGATCAAAGGTGACATCTTGCAGCAGAGTGTGAGCCAACATGAACTTAAGGCCTGATTTAAACAAGAGATGAAGTCACTGATGTTCCCAAATTTTTCTCCCAATTATTTTTTTGTCAGCAACACCAAGAATGAACAGCAGTTAGATGATTAGCGTAGAGATTAGAGATTAGAGTATTATCTGTCTCAACATCTTGAAATAGGAGAAATTCACCAAAGTGAAAAATTAAGAACTGAACTGCAAATAAAGTGAAACATCATGGTGTAAAAAGCATTTTATGAATGCCATCAGAGGTTTTAATGTTTCCATCAGGACACTTTATCTATTGGAACTTGCACTTACACACCATTAATACATTTGTTTTTACTTTTATAGACATTAAAATGGAAAGTTTCTAAATAGCTGTTGTAAAACTGACCTTACCTAAACAAAGCTCCGGAAGAAAAGAATAAAAAAAGAGAAAGAGTGTTCAGAAAGTCCAAATGTTGAAGTCAGTCAAACAGCAGCTAAAACATGCCACCACAGTGCAGACACCAGCTAGCACATGCTTTCTACTGAACCAGAAGCAGCCAACTCAACCTTCGTGTATCTGAGTGGCCACCACAGGTTCAAGCCTGAGGTTGCTTCCTAAGACAGGCAGTGGAGATGTCACCTCCTCCCTCCCTCTCCCTCCCTCCCTCATGTACACAAACACACACACACACTCCCTCCCACCTTCACTCCCCCTGTCTCTTCCCCCTTGTGTCCCCTGACTGGAGAGCTCCTCAGACAGTGTTCACCCCACCTCAGGCTCTGAGACACAGACACAGAGCAGCAGGACAATGTTCCTCTTTCTTATTTATGAATCAAGTCCAACCTAAATATATCTGAGCAAAGGGACAGGTGACCAGCACATATAGGCACACAGAGAGGAGAAAAAAAAGGAGAAGGGGGTGAGTCTTATCTTGCCCCTACACCCATCAACACCCTCCCCACTTCTATCAGGGTGGTCGATGAGTTCCTGCCCAGAGGGGCCTTTTTAATGTGCTCATCACGGGGAACAGCCCTCTTTGATATGACACATGATAATCTATGAAAATGTTAATCAATAGAAATAGTTTAAGCTGTCGTTAAAAACGTGAGCCGGCTGGTCAATACTCATATCCCTGGTAACAATGTCACTAGTCATCAGGGCTTCATTTGTGGAGCACTTAAATGTGGGACACTGCGCATCAATGCACCTCTCTGCCCGCCGAGGTAAACACATTTTCCCCTCTGTCTGAGCCTGGCCACACTCTGCATGCATTTGGGTCCACCCCCACCTCCTGCCTCCTCTCCTTTGAGTTGCTTGATAGGTCCACTGGAGGGCAAAATTAATACCTAATTGAATCTTGCAGTCATCAAAATAATCAATAGTTTTTTATTATTTATTCTTCACAGTCTGTTGACTGTTTGAAAGCTCAGAGGGACAGGGGGAGAGCACAGGCAGCCCTGAAATTTCTACCGTTTCACAATGTAATTTTCACTGGGGCATGAGAGTTTGCAAGACCTATAAAAAATGAGAGCACTGGTTTTTGTTACGAGGTGGGGGAAAAAAATAAAGGAAAAATGGGAATCTTTGCCCCAGCAGCTATGATGAAAAATAGAATAAACAAGCTACTGACACTTCAGAGAAGGGCAGGGTCCTTTCTGTCCATCCCTCCATCTTTTTCCCTTTCCCCTTTTCTCCTTATTTCATCATATCAGGAGTGTGGCGGTACCTCTCTAATGCTGGCATTTCTCTTCCTGACAGACTCCAAACAAGTGCTGGGAATGAGATCAGAGCTCTAATCTTCCCCTGGCCTCTGAGGCTCGAGGATAAGGGGGCAACACATCTCTCACCATCTTACGCAGCTGTTAATTACTTCATTTCAAAACAGCTAGCTTTGCCTATTTGCAATCATGCCACCAAATTGGGCGTGTTTATTAATTTAAGCTCAGGGAGTAATGCAATTACACGTAATGGGATAACTCTAATCTTATTGCAGAAAAATCCCTAATAAAAAGTGATATTTAAAAAATTACCATAAGAGATTACATTACTGATTCCAAGCAGTGGGTGTGTAACGGATTAGCTTCATTTTTTAAAGTAACCCTCAGACCTCTGGTTAAGACAATAATGTGAGTTTGTGCGTGTGTGTCTGTGTGTGTGTTGTAAGAAGGTTGGCGGGAGCAGACATGAGGGAGAAGGTTTGTCTCATTTCTTCCCTGTTCACTCAGTCTGGCCACAGCTCAGGAACAGGTTGCAGGAACAAGAAAAAGCACTTGATCCCCACTCTGCCTTCTGCTCACCAAACACCCCCAGTGGCCGAATAATCAGTAGTTACCAGAGAGTCCCGAGCGCCATCAGATATCCACGCTAATAGCTAGTGGTCTCACCAGTGCTGTCCCAGCATGAGGGGACACTAGGTGAGGGGTTTCAGCCCGATTGCAGCACCACTTCCACTCCGACACTCACGGTTCCTCTGGTTATTGAACAGAAGTTAAAAAAATAATCAATACTCATCGTTATTGTCATAATATTGTTTTCTTATTCACAGTGATCTGTAATATTTATACCAGGAATCAAGAGGGAATATCCAAACAGCTGGAGCGCTACATCGTGGAATCTATTGCTGTGTTCATACATACAAAGTTAGTAGTATTTATTAGTATTATTAGTATAAAATGTACTAATGGGGGAAAGTACGCAATACATCCACTGACACACATCCTTCAAACTGCTGGGTAAATTATTAATAATTTGATATTACAATGATGTTGTAGTTACATTGTGAAGATAACAGTAAGGCCACAGAAGGTAGCTGAAGAGGGTCCAGCTACATACCAGCAGAGATTTAATGATTACTTGATTAATTGATGAGTCACTTTAGTTATTTTTTAAGACATTTGCTACGTGAGATACTTTTCTTTGTCGTATATGACAGTAAAAGGAAGATCTTTGGGTTTTGGACTGTCAAATAAAACAAGGAAGATGAATATGTCACCTTGCAATGGATGAGTGGAATATTATAACAGGCTTTTTTCACTATTACCTGGACAAATTACTTCATCGATTAATTGAGAAAATAAGGTTGATCAACTATGGAAATGACTGTTAGCTGCAGCCCTACATACCACGTATGAAACTTTCTCTTACACAAACTGCCAGTGACAATAAAACTTCACAAACAAAACAAAAAGATTCAATATACTTATTTGTTTGCTTTCCAATATCTTCCTCAACCTGTCTCACCACCAGCTACAATTAGTGTAATTTTGCAGCTTCCCCTTGCTGCCTCTCCTTTCTGCAGGAAGAACACAACAACAACAGCACACTCAAACAATTTTTAGCACTGATGTTTTATATATACTTAATTTTTTCTTTCTCATATTGTAAACCTGCTCTGTATTAGTATGTCTATTTTCCGTGTGCCCAGTGCATGCTGAGACAGGCTTTAGCACACCTGTGACCCTGAACTAGATAAGAATAAGGTTTAAAATCTACCCAGAATACAGCTCATCATGTGTCAGACTTCTCTTTCAGGCTTCACA